GGGCTAAGGATTAGAACTTTTTATCTCTTTTGCAAATTGAAATGGGAAGTACCAATGTGAGAATATGATCAACCATATTTGGACCATGGGAGTAGCCAAAGAAATAGGCAAACTAAGCATGTTAGAAGTCTGGTGCTCATCCCCAAAGAGTGATTTTGTACCTATTTGGAAGTCTAAGCATGGTGATTTTGCACCTAATTTATTTTAGACAAACTGGTGGAAAATGATTTAAACATAGGGTCCCTTTCATGTAGCTAACAATGGGTATGATATTAAACAAATTGGAATGACGAAGTGGGACTCATGAAGATGACTCATATAGTTGGGACAAGGCTTACATGATAATAATAAACTAATGGAAAATATTTCTAAAATGAACATTGTACATTTGTAGATCTGATGTAGGATCTATTGGACCAAAATCCAACTTGATTAATTGGATCACCTCTAACCATCAAATTGATGGATGATTTTCCAACGAATTCCATCCTAGTTTTTTAACCATTTAGAAAAGATTCAATAACATTATTATTTAATCTAATTGAATTTTTTGGTGCAAAATTGCCTAATATATAATCTAAACAACTAAATGTTTAATATTAGTAAAAACCTAAGATCGCCACCCATTCACCTTACACATAAGGCAAGAAAAAGACTTAAAAAGATTTTATAAACATATGAGCATGGAAAGGTTACACCATTGTGATCTGTTTTGTGTTCTACATCTATCTATATCTATTTTATATTCTACATTTATCTTTCTGATTTTATTTTCTTTATTTTTTTGCTAGGGGAAATAGGATACTTTCTTTTATTGATAAACAACAAAGTGTTTGAATAGGGACAAGTTTACAATTTTAGCCATTCTATATTCTTCTATACTCATTTATATTTACTCTAGCAATACAAACCATTCAACTTTTCACTGTTAATTTTATCAATCTATTAATTAGACAGTTTTCATTTTTACCCCAAAAATCCATCAAGTGAAATATATTTTTAGAAGTAGGATATTACACTAAGAATAGTCTAGGATCTATACCTATATTCCTTGTGCTTGGTGAGTTTGTGTATTCCAATCATATATTTTTCCCTTCAATTATTTGATTTTTTGCTTTTGTAATTATTTGAAATTTTATTTTAATTAGATACCATTGGTATATAATACAAATCAACACATGAACAAAAGTTGCTCTTTAGTATAGTTTCTTGCATGAATATTCTCAAAATAATGTTTATGATCTAAAGAAATGTTAGTTATAATAGCACAAAGAAGTGTTTATAATCAACACATCCCACTTTATAGTGGCTTATGGAGTCCAATTCAAAGTCTATAGTGCTGCTAGTAAGTAATACTTCCATGACTAAAATACAGTCACCATTGCATCTTGGTTATTGGGAGAGAGGTCATCTGTTCAGGGTCCCTTTCATCCAAGCCCAAAGGATTCCTCATTTCGAGGCTCCAAAGATGTGAGTAAAAAAAGGAACTAATCTATTTCCTTATCAGAATTATAGAATAAACAAACATGTTTAAGATGGTTTTGTAGTTTTAATGTATTTTTATATTCAGTAATTACTAGCTGTTTTTCTGTTCTTAGATTTTTACTTCCAAACTTCAGTAGAGACGCTTATCTAGACTCTATAGAGAGTTAAAATAGAATTATATAATATATTTATACCTACATCCATCTATTTGTGAAATGGTTGCTTTGCTAGTTTAACCATTTCAATGAATGGGCCACCTTTCACTGTTACACCTCTGGTTTTGTTCGGAGACATATATTAGTTGTCATAGTCCCCAATCCACTAATAAAATAATAGAAAAATGTGAATGAAAAGGACTAGGACATTGTGGAGCCATGCATTAATAATTTATTTTACTTAATTTGTTCGTTTGGTTGCTCTTAGTTGATAAGTTTGATGTTTGTTCATGTTTACCAATTTTCTTCTCTACTTTCTCTCTTCATTTTAGCTTGCAGGTCTGTGTCTGAGTGGTTGCTTGATCCCAGATGGATTGAATAATCCCAAGAAACATGAAATAGTCCTATTGAATGGACATTGCCTGGAATTAAACTTTGATATTTATTTCTTCTATGTCTGAGTCTCCTAAGGGGAGGAGGATAACCTAGGCCTAAGATCCATCTTTTGATAGGAATTGTCGCCATCTGGTCCAATGGATTCTTGAGTGGGCATTTTCGTCAATGCAACTATATTAAGGACAACAAATTAGAGAAACTTCTAGGGGTATTTGCCAATGTGCATGCTGCCACGTCAACAAATCAACCACTTCTTTTCAAACAAAATCATGCATATTGGTGAATATCCCCATAGTTAATAGAAGTGGCTCTAATGTGCCACATCAGCAAAGATATTTTCCAGTTGTCATTTTCTAAACCATTGCTTTTTCTGATGTGAATTGCCATCTTTTTCACTGATGCACCCTGGTTTACATTTAAACAATGTTTTGGCTCAATTCCTTTTGTTTCTCTGGTTAAAAAGCTATATGTATGTATAAAATTTATCTTAGATGAGTAGTTTCTACAATGCATGAGTTATCTATTCTTCCTTATAAAGTATGGCTTCTAAAGATGATTTCTTTTCATCTTTTCCAGCTTAGACAATTGGTTGAAAAATGCAAGTAAAATGTCAGTATCATGGTCTCGGAGAACAAGGATTTATATTACAGATCTAGAATTGATGGAGATTCTGTTATACAAATTTGGACACTTTGAGAGGTCCAAACCAAATCCTCTTGCAAGGTTGTTAGTAGGTGGACTTGTAAGCTATGAGGAAGAAAAATGGGTTAAGCATAGAAGGATCATCAACCCTGCTTTGCATCTAGAACATCTAAAGGTTGTTTTCTATTCTCTAACATGTTTAAATGCAGCTATGAATTCATAAATTTTCTTAAAAGGAAAAGGAAGGGAATACACCATAGACAATTGAGTGTTTTAGAAGGATAGTAGGATAGTAGGTGATTATAGCACACTGACAACAAAGGCAAAGACCAATTTAACTATCTTTGTAGTTAAAATACTTCAATATAAATTCTAATATTTATATATTATGATTTGCAAGTTTAACCATTATGTTAAGTGGATTTGCATCGGAAGATGTGTTGCAACATTCAACAATGATTTGCATTGGAAGATGTGCTGCAATATTCAACAAGGATTTGCATTGGAAGATGTGCTGCATTATTCAATAAATTGATTTTTTAAAGTCCTTGTACTTTTTATATGTCAATTGGCTATTGTATTTGAACAATTTGTTTTGAATATTATAAAATTTAATTTTTAAATTAATAGATTTTGTTTTAAATTACATCTTTTGTTTAAGTTGTTTTTATGTATCAATTGTCATGAGATTTATTAAGCAGGTATTAAAGTGTAGATGCAAAAAAATGTTGGAATTAACCTAGTATAAAATAAAATATAAAAAGATTTAAACCGGTGGTCATTCAATTGTAGGTTTACTAAGGCGGCAGTCATATGGGACCTAAGCCGGCGGTTCAGATTGCCGCCTAAAAGTGCAAGTGACATTTGACACAACCTAAGGCGGCGGTCATATGAAACATAACTTGGCGGTTCAGACCGCCACCTTAAAGTACAAGTATCATTTGGCATAGTCTAAGGCGGCGGTTCAAACCACCACCTAAAAGTGTGAGTAGTTTGGCACAACCTAAGACGGTGGTTGAAAGCCGCCGCCTTTATTCATGCTAAGCCAGCGGTTCTGAGTCTTCTGACTGATTGCCACTTTAGCGCATTTTGAACCATCTCAGACCGGCCATCAAAGTTGGCGGTCTTTTTCAACTGAACCGGCAGTCTTGATCTAGGCCGACAGTGGATTAGGGGAAGGGTGCCTAACCACCGCCTTAGATCTATGGCGGCGGTTTGAAGGCCTAAGCCAGCGGTCATGTGACTACTGGCTTTGACCATTTTTCTTGTAGTGGCAACCTTATCAAAAAACTTAGTGAAGAGAAACCAAGAACAGGACAACTTTGTATCACTTGAAACACACTCTAAGGTGGCGTTTGATAAATCTGAAATTTCATATCTGAAAAATTAAAAAGATATTTTTTGTGTCTAAAATTTAAAAAGAAGCATATGTGCTTTTTTTACTTTTTAGAGGCTCTGAATCTATAAGTTTGTTTGTATTGGACCAACCCTTGAGGCCTTTACCATCTGAATTGTACTGATTTACTATTTTACCCCTAGAACATACTATTTGGATATGTTGAGTTTAATTTGCATTATCTCATAAAAAATAATTTTCAACCTCAAAATAATATTGAAACAATACAAATAAAAATAATAAATTAACAATTACTAGTTAATAAATGAAATGATTAGAATTAAAAAAATAATTAATGACTATAAAAATTTTAAAATAGTTAATAATTACTAATTAATAAATGGCACAAGTAAATTTAATAAAAAGCAATTAATGTTTAATAAAAAAATATTATTATTACTCACTAAATCACCGCTACTACAAGTTGTAGTAATGGTGGCGGTGGTGGGAAGACAGGGGAGGGAGGGAGGGGGAGAGAGAGAGAGAGAGAACCAGGAAGACAGGGGAGAGAGAGAGAGAGAGCCGCTACAACTTGCAGCGGCGGTGGCGGGAAGACAGGGCAAAGAGAGAGAGAGAGAGAGAGAGAGAGAGAGAGAATCATCGCTGCAATGGTAGCGACAATGGTGGAACACAATGCAGAGAGAGAGAGATGTATGAAGACGAGAAAGAGAGGTCCAATGGTGAGGGGTAGTTTTGACTTTTGACCACATATGAAGCGCGTCTGAATGCATTAAGTGACAAGCCTAAGTTTAAAAATTTCAGATCTGAAAAAAGTTTTCAAACCCTATTTCAAATGCAACACCAAAGGTGGCATCTGAAAGTAATATTTTCATATTCAAACGTCTAAAAAGTGCAATCAAACGCCACCTAAGTGAGCCTTGTTCATTATTCCAACATAAAATATAGCCATTCCTACCCTCAATGTCAATCCACTAAGCTATGTTTGGTTTGAAAGAAAAGCTAGGGAAAAATAAGGGAAAGGTAAGGAAACTTATACAAGGTTTGTAAAGGTTTTCCTACAAAGCTTGTAAAGGTTGTTCTACCTTACCCTACTTTTTTTCCTTCAAACCAAACACAACTTTAATGAATCATGAATGATGCTTAATGGAAACTAGGAATTGCATTTTGGATTTATCTATTATGTTCATCAACTTATAGGAAGCAAATTGTATATCAATAGTACGTCAAGATTGAAGGTTACTTGTGCAAAGACTTCTTGATTAGGGAAAGGGAATGACAAAAAAAATTCATTGCCTTTAAAGGTGGTAAGGGCATTTTCATAACTTCAACATCACCGTTATTGAAAATCCAATGGAAGGGAGGTGGGGCAGTTGTATATTGTTTTCAAAATCACAAGAGAGGTTTTTATTAAGATCAAAACACATGGGAAGATTTTATGATTGTCAGAAAACCCATGGGAGGATTTTATATTTTACCCCCACTAAAAAAGTAACACCCTTACAGGAATGCAAACGGATCAAATCATATTCGAATAAGGTATATATCCGAATCTATAAGATAGCACATATCCTAGATCTGATATGAAGATTCGATTGGATCTCATAAATGGTGATTCAAATCTGAATTTGTTAAGGATGTCGTTTATTGGAATCTGATCCAATCCCATTCAAATTCTAAAAATGTTAATAAATTATTAAAAGAAAAAACATAACATTTTTATAAAGAAAAACAAAAAATATAAATATTTTTTTCAACTATTTTCATCATATATATTAATATATACATGTATTTTTATAAAGGGAAATTATCCAAAATTCACCATCACTTTTTATAAATTTCCTTAAACTCACTATAACTTTTCAAAACATCCAAAATTCACCATGTCAATGAGATTTTATTTTCTAAAACTCAACATGTTAGAACACTGTTAAAGTTCAATGATCTAAATTGTCCACGCCAACCTAAATGCATGTTTCATGACTAAACTACTCCTAAATAGTGAGTCAACCTGTTAATATCAACACCATCAACATGACCATTGTTCCTAGTTAGTGCTAGTGGTGTGGTGGCATGTCACTCCACTCCTTTTCACAACCGAGGAAAGGTGGGTGGGTGGTGGTGGTCTCTGACGCTAAGCTACTCAATGTGTATTTTGCGCACACTCGCCAAGTAGAAACAATAGTAGTTCATGGAAATGAAATCCCCATTTGTCCAATATCTTGCCCTTCACTCAAAAATTATATAGACAGTGTGTCCACAATTTAGCTTCAATCCATATCACCGTTGAGGCCCAGCAAGCTCACGCCCGTCTCCTCAAACTAGGAACTTCAAACCTTGTCGTGTCGGGCCTTGTTGCCACCTATTGTGAATCCAAGGCATTTTCGTATGCTCGATAGTTGTTCGACGAAACGTATCACTGGGACCTAATTTAAGCCACCTCTATAATTGGTCGCTTTGCTCGGCACAATTGCCATAAGGAGGCAATTGATATTTTCTCTCGCATGCTTGTCCTCAACATCAGACCCAATGGGTTCACTTTCGACACAGTCATCATTCCTTTATTGCCACAGGGAATATCACTACAGCCAAGCAGCTTTGTGCTTGCGCGACAAAGGTGGGTCTGCATTCAGATGTCTTTGTGGGTAGTTTGCTCCTTGATAGCTATGCCAAGTTGACAATCGAAGAAGATCAAAGAGCCTTCCAAGATATCAACAACCCCAATGTGGTTTCTTATGCAACTTTGATCTCTGCATACCTCAACCACGAGAACTTCAAGGATGCTCTCCGATATTCCAGGAGATGCCAGACAAAAATGTGGTGTCATGGAATGTGGTGATTGGCGGGTATAGTCAGATGGGCCACAACGAAGAGGTCGTAAACCTTTTCATTAAGACGATTAGAGAAGGCCTGAGGCCTAATGAATCGACTTTTCCTTGTGTCTTAAGTGCAACTGCCAATATCACTGCTCTTTGGATGGGCAAGAGCTTCCACGCATGTGATATCAAGTCTCTAGGTAAGCACAATGTGTTTGTGGGTAATTCTCTTATCAACTTCTACACCAAATGTGGGAGCATGGAGGATAGTTGGATAGCTTTCGACATACTTGCTCAAAGAGTACTGTTTCTTGGAATTCTCTGATCTATGGTTATATGCAAAATGGGAGAGGGAAAGAAGCAATAGATTGTTTCCGAAGGATGAAAGCTTCTGGGTTTAAGCCCAACAGTGTCACCCTTCTGTGTCTTTTGTTGGCAATTTGGCATGTAACCATGCAGGCCTTGTTGAGAAGGTTATTCGTAATTGATGATGCGCAATCCGGTCTGTCCTAGCTGCCGGTTGCCTCGCCTCTGATGGAGTTGAAGGTGCCTGAAACAAGGAAGAAGCTGGAGATTTCCGGGGAGGAACCCGGTCGGAACACTCTGAAGCTCAAGTTAGTGCTCTAGAGAAGGCAAGGGAAACGAGAGACTTCAGGACCAGAAAGCACAAAAATCATATACCTCCTTCTTTGGGGGAAGGGGGGCCTTTTATAGGCACCCTGGTACACTTACTCCCATACCTCTGCCAGATCGGGTATCATCACCTCCGCCAGATCGGGTGTCATCACCTCTGCCAGATGCCAGATCGGGTGTCATCACCTCTGCCAGATGCCAGATCGGGTGTCATAACCGCCACTGTCTTCCTTGTTAGGGCCGTCTCTGCCACGTCTGAGATGGCGGTGGCAGGTGGCCGTTGGAGGGCGGCTGTCATGTGTCGGACCCCTAATCAGTTAGGCGCGTCGCCTCCGTGTACGGGCGTCCTTGGCGTCGGGTACCGTTGTTCAGTCAGGCGACCTAGTGCCGGAGTGGTGTGAGAGGTGAAGTCTTGAGTTCGGATAGAAGTGTGGCCCGAACTGCCCCGAGGTGGGTCAGCTCGGGTTTTTGCCCTTTGCGCTCCTTATAAGGCTCAGGGCCTCTAAGGGAGAGCTCGGGTCGTGGGCACGTTGTCGTGCCGAGCTGGCGCTCTTGCCAGGTCACTATCGGTTGCTTCCACGTGTCGCGCGGCCAAGGGGTCGGGCCAAATCTCCCTCCATCAATTGCCCCCTACTCCCCGTGCCCGGGGTCCTGATCCGGCGTGGGGAGTTCACAGGATGACGGATGGATTTGCCCCGTGACGCTTTGGCCTTGGTTTGGAGCTTCTCCGGTTTGACCTGCTTGTGCTTTCGACCCGATCAGGGTCGGCTTGGTTCGACCAGGGGTCAATCCCGGGTCGCGTGCAGCTCACGCGCAGACGTCAAATGATTATAAATTTTCGGACGTCAAAAATTCGCGCCAAACTAATTTCACAGGGGCCACCGTGCTTGGCGCATTGAGGCTAGGGATTTCATCCGTCGAGAGGGGGACGATGAACTGTCCGATGCATACAGTGGCGGGCTGAAGGTGTTCCCCTACAACATTCAAGTTGGCGTTGTGCCTGTTGCTGCTGGAGGAAGCCATGGAAGCTAAGGTTTCTTTGAGAGAGAGAGAGTTAAAGGTTAGGGGAGGCTTTTTGAAGTCTTCCCACAGACGGCGCCAAATGATGATGCACAATCCGGTCGGTCCTAGCTGCCAGTTGCCTCACCTCTGACGGAGCTGAAGGTGCCTGAAACAAGGAAGAAGTTGGAGATTTACGGGGAGGAACCCGGTCGGAACACTCCAAAGCTCAAGTTAGTGCTCTAGAGAAGGCAAGGGAAATGAGAGACTTCAGGACCAGAAAACACAAAAATCACATACCTCCTTCTTTAGGGGAAGGGGGGCCTTTGTAGGCACCCTGGTACACTTACTCCCATACCTCTGCCAGATCAGGTATCATCACCTCCGCCATATCGGGTGTCATCAACTCTGCTAGATGCCAGATCGGGTGTCATCACCTCTGCCAGATGCCAGATCGGGTGTCATAACCGCCACTGTCTTCCTTGTCAGGGCCGTCTCTGCCACGTCTGAGATGGCGGTGGCAGGTGGCCATTGGAGGGCGGCTGTCATGTGTCGGACCCCTAATCAGTCAGGCGCGCCGCCTCCGTGTACGGGCTTCCTTGGCGTCAGGTACGGTTGTTCAGTCAGGCGACCTAGTGCCGGAGTGGTGTGCCAGGTGAAGTCTTGAGTTTGGATAGAAGTGTGGCCCAAACTGCCCCGAGGTGGGTCAGCTCGGGTTTTTGTCCTTTGCGCTCCTTGTAAGGCTCAGGGCCTCTAAAGGAGATCTCGGGCTCCTCCTTGGGGAGCTCGGGTCATGGGCACGTTGCCGTGCCGAGCTGGCGCTCCTGCCAGGTCACTCTCGGTTGCTTCTACGTGTCGCGCGGCCAAGGGGTCGGGCCAAATCTCCCTCCATCAGTAATCATACCTGGTGTTGCAATTCTCTTCGGAGGGGGCGAAAGAGGTGAAGGGAAACTAGAGAGAGAGAGAGAAGAAGAAGAAGAGATGATATATCGAAGTTGGGAAAGGAAGATGAATTCTATCTATGTGTCTAAGACTAAGAATGGGAGTAGACAACTTTTAGCAAAGTCCCCACGCCACTGGAAAAGCGAAAAAGAGAATTCCTCTGTTTGGAGATATGAACGGTGGTAGTGGTGGTGGTGTTAGCTGGAGTGGCCGGATTAAAGCTTCTTTGATGAGGAACGATTGAGGGTCTTGCGAAAGGAGAGAGAGAAGGGGGGGGGGTAGAGTCAGAGAGAAAGGAAAATAATGCTGGTGTTAAACTACGAATTGACCGCCAGAAGGGTAAAATAGTAAATTAATGATGCCCGTTTGTCAAGTTACCATTATTTCACTGATATGGTGAGTTTTGGAAGTTTTAAAAAGTTATGGTGAGACTAAGAAAATTTATAAAAATTGAAAATTGATAAAAAGTGACGGTGGGTTTTAGATAATTTTCGTTTTATAAAAACTTATAAAAAATCCAATACATATATAGGGTGACCTAAATTCGATCAAATCCGAAAATCCGATAAAAATATCAAAATCAAACAAAAATATGATCGGATTCGGACCAATCCATTTGGACCCACTTTGTCGTTTTATAGGATTCCGTCATGGGAAATTCTCGGCACAGGCGCACAACCCAATTAGCCCACACAAGTAGGGGTGTAAACGGATCAAATCCAAATTCAAATTCGATTAGAAAATCTGATATTCGAATTCGATTCAATATCCGACGGATATTGAAAATTAATATCCGAATTCAAATTTGATTAAATATTTGAATATCCGATTCAATTCGAATTCAATTAATTAATTATTTTAGATAATTAATAAATATATAAAATAAATATTTTATTAATATAAAATATATAAATATATAACTTAATTATTATATATATTATATAAAATATTTTATATATTATATATAAGAATTAAATAATTGATTGAATTCGGATATTTATCGAATTGAATCAGGTCATATTCGAATTCTTATCTAATTAACTATTGGATAAGAATAAAATGTTCGAATTCGACCAAGTAGATATTCGAATTATCCGCATTCGATTCGATTATATTGAACATCAAATTCGAAATCGAATTTTCGAATATATCAAATTCGAAATCGGATTTTCGAATACCGTTGACACCCCTACACGCAAGGGATAGACGAGGGCTAATGGACCCGGATTGTATTTGTATCGGGTCTACGTGCGGACTGCGGTGTGCGGACACTCATCGTTACCAGACAAATTGGAGGGTTTGATTCAGGTAAGGTAAGGCAATATACCCCTAACGAGTGGAACGGAAACAATAAGGGAAACGCCGTATCTCCCGTATAGCTCTCTCTCTGTCGTTCCTCGCTAAGTGGGAAATCTCCCCTCCAGGGATTCTTCTTCCACCGCGTGAAGGGCCAAATCTAGCTTCATATAGGTATACCTCTTCACCATTATTACGAGATCTGATTGTTTTTTGCTAGTTCAGATCTGTTTTATATGGAATTTAGGTTTATCCATAATCCGTTCTATTCAGTGCGTAGTAATTTGATCCGTTCTATTATGATTTCTATTTCTAGCTTTTCAGTATTTGATTTTTGTTTAGCTCTGTGTATCTTTGTGTGATTTGGGGTTTGATCGTTTCGGTATGTTGTTCGCGTGTACATACGTGGTCGATTTAGGGTATGGTTGTTTCCTTAGAGCTACCATTTCTAAATGATCATCGCCTGACGGTTTCATGTTCATATTCTAGCTCCCTCTTTTCCTTGTTATTTTATTGGCCACTGGGGGGGGGGTATTTCATTACTGCATGATTTGAAATTTTGTTTACTGGGCTTCTATTTTCTTAAATCTTTTGATCTTGTTTTTTTACAAATTTCCTGTGCATTCATCTAATGTTTTGTTTGAGAGAGGCCACTTTGTGAAAAAAAAAAAGAAAAAGAAAATGCGAAAGGTTAGGGCCGTATTCAGTTGACCTCTTCCAATACTCCAGATAAATCAAACCGACGTTAGGGGCCATGACTTGCTGTAATGGTAAACTGATCTGATGTCTGTGAACTTTTCTGATATGAACTTATGTTGTCATCATTGATAATATTCATTTGGCTCATTATCTCAAGTAGTTTTATGATTTGGATATTTAGTCTTTCAATTATATATTTTCTACATTGTTTCTTCTTCATTTTGACACAAAGCTAATATTTTCTTGCTGAATGTGGTCCAAATTGTGTTGTTAAAGTACATGTGTGATTATTCTCCTTTCTCTCTCCTCCAGATACATACACCTGACTACTACCCAAAGTTCTGTTCTCCAGTCTTATCCCCCCTATCTTCCCAAGTTTTTGGACTCATCTTCTTTTATCTGATTTTTACTGCATTTTACATTCTTTTGGTGCCACTTGTCTTGGGATGAATAATGTAACCATTGGATTTGCTAGATTGTGTAACCATTGGATTTTTACTGAATTTGTGTGGTTGATACTTTTCCTACCAAAGTAAATTTTGAACTAAAACCCCCTAACTGTGGAAGGATTTTACATGGTCATGAAACTATGCCACACAAATACACAATCAGTTTATGAATTAGGAGGAATCAAGTACCTTTATGTGAGAAGTAAAATACAATGCTATCCTACACTCAACTATTTTAGATAGAGGTATTGACTTTAGCAAGTAAAATTTATAATTCTTTTAAGATGTTGCAACTTTGGTCATTTTAAATTTAAAAAATATGCATGATCAAAGTAGATTATCTTGTATGATGTTCTAATTAGTTATTATTATTTGGGTAAAAGACTTAAACCTCCCTTCATTTTATCCTAAATATTAAAACATCCCCTCTTTCAATTTGGACTAAGACCTCCCATGCTTTGTGACATCATAAGACAAAAACCTCCCCTATGTTAACATTCCGTCCAAATCCGTTAGCATTTGACATTATGCGGGAGTTATTTTTCCCTAAAACCCAATTCTGTCCATTATTGTCCATTGTTCCGTTCTCAGTGTGTCAGTGTGTTGCATACCCAAAAACGTGATAGAGGTCTGCACTCCCTGTACCACTACCACCCAACCACTGACATCTGCAATCCACAAACGACTACCTCTCACCAGCAACACCACCACACGGTATTGTCACATTGCTTATCTGGGTTGAGCCTTGGCTATTGATCAGACATGGTTGCATCTAGCTTTTTGATAGAATGGTTGCAGAACACGATTTTGGAGGTTGCTTGCACTGATTTCTTAACCTAAGTGCTTCATTTTGTGGGCAATCCAGAGGGTTTCTATGTCAGTGGTTGAATCATTACCCAAACTAAGAGATGGGTTTGTACATCATACCGATATAACAGTTAACTTTGATGGTTCATTGAAGGGGAAGTAGCTATGACTGCATGGGTGATCATTGGTTGTTAGATGAAGGTTTTGGAGGTTGGGGTGCATCCTGTTCCTATTGCTGATCGATGTAGAAGTAGCTGTGGCATATACGGTGTATAAAACTCTTCAAAGTGTGCAGAAGTTTATGGACAAATACATTCTAATGACTAGAAAATCAGATTGTTATCGGGTTCATACAGAACAAGCTGGAATATTCATATTTGTGATTGAATTGTCCTTTTTGTTGATTCTAAATCTCTTATTAATCAGTTTAGTGTTTCATCATTTTTATGCAGCTAGTGTTTCATCATGTTAGTCATGATACAATAAATTGGCTCATATATTGGCGTCTTTGTTAGAGAGTGAAGGTTTTGTCTTGAATGGGTTTTAGTTCCTCTTGATGTAATTTCCTTTGGATTTAATGTATAATTTTATCCTTACAGGAAAGAAAACAGTGGTAGTTCTTTATTTGCTAGTTTGGGTGGTTTTTTAAATTTAAAGAATAATGAAGGATAAAAGAGTCTTTTTATTGTTTCTGTTAAATTTAATGGAATCTTATTCTAAAAAAAATGGAATCTTATTCTGACAGGGGAGGTTTAAGTCCTATTAGAAATTAGAAGGGGGGTAATAGTATTTATCTTCAAATTTAGGGGAGGCTTAAGCCTTTTACCCTCATTATTATTATTTGAAGTCTTGCTTGTTTATGTATTTGTTTCTTTTTTATGCACATTGGTTAGGTGTCTGCAATTCTTTAAATACAATATGGTTCTTGTCCATGATGCTGGTCACAATTATGAGAATTTGAGTTTCTACAATTTGCCAGCCACATACAAGTTTTAGATTCTGGTCTTTAATGTTGAACTGGAATACAACCAAATTAATTGGCTATTCTTACAATTTCAGTCCTAATGTTCTGTTTTGATCAATAAGTCATAATTCTTTTTATTGGTAAATGAAAATAATGTTTGAATTGTACAACTGAATTATACCAAGCATCCCCACAAATTAGGCTAGCCCTACTACTTAACCTGTTAACAACTCTTGCCCTTATGTACATTTTGCCCTACAATTTTCTTTCATTCTCCATAGAAATGACCCCAATCCCCAATACAGTTGGGTCCTGTTGGCCATTTGCTTGGACAATGCATCTGCACATCTGCCATATGGTTAGATAATCATCGAGTCTAAGTGAGGGTAGATCCCACTTCTCTAGCTTGGCGTCTGATTTCTCTTTAAGTGTGCTTGTATTGCCAGGGTTCTCAATAATTGTTTTTCAGCTGCCCAACTTTATTAAACATTTACAGCTGAGTCTCCTTCCACCAGAAAATTTTGGCAATCGAGAGGTTTATCTTCAGTCATAATGTTTGACAACAGTTTCCATTTCTTTACAATTAATCACAAGTCTAGATTTCGTTAAGAAATATGTAATTATACAAACATTGTTGACACTCTATTAGATAGAGAGAAGTCCTTTTTGTGGTGTACGAAGGAGCATTCTTCTCCAACCCCCACCCCACCCCAAATTCAAAGGTTAGCTGTTGTCCTTTCCTAAGTGAATGAGGTATTCATAGAATGCCAAGGGGCACTACTTCTCCAATATGATGTCTATAATGCAAAGGGTATATTGCCTCCCTTTCCACTCCAATTACCACTCATGGATCACCTTCAACCACCAACCTGGAATGCATGATAGCATATCTCTGGTTATCAATATTACTGTGGTATTTACTATCCGGTATGCAAAGTTAGAAACTATGCAACAGACTATCGTGATGTTCATAAAATATACTATATTGAAATTGGCAAAAATATGGTTATATTTTCCAATATGATTCTTTGTTTGTTTCAATGAGATTATTTGAATTACATGGTCTAACTTTAGACTTCACAGAGATTAATATATATAACCATTAACATTTAACAGTATAGTTGACAGCAATGTTTTAAAAGGTGATTGGGGTGGACATGGCACACTCAAAATGCCCTGTAGCGTATGCTGGAGGCATGGATGCTCTTGACACGTATGGCACTCAAAATGTCCTCTTGCATTCTGAACTATGCTTCATGCTTCCAGGTAGTGGAATGCCTCATTTAAGACTTGAGAAAATGTACAAAAAGGACTTCGGATAGTCTACTTGTGGTGCCATAAGCATCCTTATTTATAGGTCTTCTTGTTCACTCAAGAGTCGAGACAAATACAGATAATGAGAGATGGAGATCTTTTTTTTTTTTTTGAGAAGTAAAGTATCAATTCATTAAAAGGAAAGAGTACAACCAGAGGCTGTACAATTAAAGAACAAGGATAGCACTCAAACTTCGGGGGAACCATGGACCAAAGGACTTTCCCTTTCTTGCTAAGACCTTGAACCCTCCAATTGTTGACAAAATCAGCCATTGTTTCCGGGCAGCAACTTCTGACTGCAAAATTCTGAGAATCTTTACCCATATGTTGTGAGTGAAGCTGCAATGCAGTAATAGGTGGTCAACGGTCTCATCATCACTGTTGTACAAAACATCTTTTAGAATCAATCACCACACCCCTCCTAACCAGGTTGTCTCTAGTAGGAACCTTATTGAGGTAAGCTGCCCAAATAAAAAAAGAGACCTTCGATGGAATGTGTTTGCACCATATTACATTCTCAGGAAATTCCAGGTCATCTTCCTCTTGTGCCAGTTTACTATAGAAAGATTTCACTGAGAACTGGCCTTTGTTATCTGCAATCCAAAGCCTTTTGTCTTCTAAATTGGGGTTGATTTGAGTGTTGTACAGCTTTTGAAGAAGCCTACTAAATGGCTCAATCTCCCAATCATTCAAAGCTCTTCTGAAGCGAGGATTCCACACAAGTACCTTGTTATGGACACCGCGTGGGCCCATAACATACCTCATTTTGATACTGCATATATTCAGCTACTTTTGCCTCCTTGTTTGTTGCAATTGCAAATAATTCTGGGAAGTCATCCTTTAGTACATTGTTACCTTTCCATCGATCCAACCAGAAATGAACCCTAGTACCCCTTCCCATTTCAAATTTGATTTCCTTGCTGAAAGCATTATAGCTTTTTTCAATTCCCTTCCAGACTGAGCAACCATTCAACTGATTTACATCACTAGGGAACCATCCTTCATTTCTTTTACCATATTTTGCTCCGATTACTCTCCTCCACAAACAGTTCCCTTGGTTACCAAACCTCCAAAACCACTTGCCAAGTAAGGCTAAGTTCATTTCCCGAATTCTTCTAATTACCGGCCCTCCATTCTTTTTTTTTGTTTGCACACCTTTCCCCAGTTAACTAAATGAATTTTCTTTCTCACCAGACCTTCACTCCATAGGTGCAGAGGCAGGCCAACTATCTTCAGCCAAAAAGATTCTGGTTGTCCAGTCTCCATCTGCCAGCAGCCTTCCGTTTCTTCCCAAGCATACAAATGGAGCAGGGCTCCTCTGATGTTTCTCGCCCCTTCATTTAGAATCCTATTCACCTCCACCGCTGAAGGTAAGATGAACACGAATTTATTTCTTGCCATCCTCCTTACTCTAACTCCCAGAGTTAGATCCCAGTTTCTCAATGCCCATGCCTGAAGCTCCTTAACTGATAGCAACGTCTCCACTACCCCTACCAAACAAGTCTTTAGAATTTTTTTTCTTTCGCTCTCCCCCTTCCCGTCAGGTAGAAGGTAGATGTACTCAGTCCCTGTTTTCATCACTACATTTCCCTCCTTCGACCAGGTAGGCATTCTGGCCTCTTCCGCATAGGATTCGTTTCTTCTTCCTAGTGTCTTAGGTTGAGAAGGATTTTCCGCCCTTCCGCATTGGTTCTGTTCATACCCATAGTAAGAATTTCTCGTTCTCCACCCCTGTATCTTCCGTCCCTCCTGAGTTTTCCTGGGAAACTCTGTTTAAAGTTGCTTTTGTAACGTCCTGTCCTTCGAAAGCCAACATATCTTCTCCTCGTTTTCAACCCTGCCACGTCTCCGCCAGTCACTGCCAATCAACATGCTATCTCTTTTTATAATGTATATTAGTTACAGGCATTAGAGCATGGAGATAGGTCAGCATATGATAGTTTTTCCTATGGACTAACTACATATTATTATTTATTAGGAAAAGAATAACCTGGGCTTTATATATGCCGTTTTCAAATACACTTACAATCATATGCAGACACATTTTAGAGATGCAGATGATCAATCCAGCATCAAAAGGTTCTATCTTAGATATTTGTATTTGAAGGCAAGGGAACTGGATGATTTAATCTGGTCAACGGTACATCATTTTATTGGACGGTCTAAGAGTTTTGTAAGATTCAGGGTGCATTTGCACAAGTTCTGGAAAGCAACTTTTATTTTTCTTCTCCGTGATGGATTCATATATGACATGTGGGAAATGTTTGTCTAATTTTTTAACAAGGAACAACAAATATAAAAAAAATTATGTCAGATCAACATAATACAGTAGAAAGATTGTTAAGAATGAAAGGCTTGGCATATATATGTAAATCTATATTATTTGTATATTTTCTGTACTTAAAAAAACACAATTTGGAGCAGTTTCTTAAGAAAATAGTATGCACATTGTACATGAATTTTCTAATTATGTTCTGCTCAACTTCTCTAACTTGAAGTGCAAGAAGAAATTTAAAGGAAAACTCTCTATAGATTTTGATTTACTATTTCTAGTGGTTTTAGATTTTGTGCTACAACTCTGGCCCTCTACCCCTGCTGCCCTGCACACAAGATAAAAGGTTTTAAGGAAATTCTGATTTTAGTTGTAAATTAAAATTGGAGGTAGTAGCTTTGTAATCACAGTGGAACCTATGTTTAGGCCGTGAAGGACAACTGCAGCTTTATTGGCTGAACATAAAGTCCCCATGGTCAAGGCTATAATCCTTTGGTGTTGTTTCTCTCACAAAAATAAGAGTTTTTTAATTGAAACATGTCATATTATAGATGCAATTTATAGTGGTTCTTGATTGTTTTCTGGCCTTCCATTGTAAATTTGATGGGTCTTGCTCTTCTTTGGGTTTGTTTGCATGTAAACATGCTTCACTTGAATTGATTATATGCTGTTCTTGCAGGTTGGTGTATTGCCTTTCTGTGCTTCATATCCAGTTAAAATGGCTGATGGTCATGAAACTGATAAGAATATTGAGATATGGAAGATCAAGAAATTGATCAAGGCACTGGAAGCTGCAAGAGGTAATGGGACCAGCATGATCTCCCTTATCATGCCTCCACGTGATCAGATATCTCGGGTTACTAAGATGTTGGGTGATGAATTTGGAACTGCTTCAAACATTAAAAGTAGGGTTAACCGTCAGTCAGTGTTGGGTGCCATTACTTCTGCTCAGCAGAGGTTGAAGCTGTACAATAAAGTTCCTCCGAATGGTTTGGTTTTGTACACTGGAACAATTGTTACTGAAGATGGGAAGGAAAAGAAGGTAACCATTGACTTTGAGCCTTTCAAGCCTATAAATGCATCACTCTACCTCTGTGATAATAAGTTCCACACTGAAGCCTTAAATGAACTCCTGGAATCTGATGATAAATTTGGCTTTATAGTCATGGATGGGAATGGGACACTTTTTGGAACATTAAGTGGAAACACACGGGAAGTGCTCCACAAATTCACTGTTGATCTTCCAAAGAAACATGGAAGAGGAGGACAGTCTGCTCTGCGTTTTGCTCGCCTTCGTATGGAGAAACGACACAACTATGTTAGAAAAACAGCTGAACTTGCCACACAGTTCTTCATCAATCCAGCCACCAGCCAGCCCAATGTTGCTGGATTAATACTGGCAGGATCAGCTGACTTCAAGACAGAGCTGAGCCAATCAGATATGTTTGATCCTCGCCTCCAGGCCAAGATACTTAATGTGGTTGATGTTTCTTATGGAGGGGAGAATGGTTTCAATCAGGCCATTGAGCTTTCTTCGGAGATTCTATCCAATGTAAAGTTCATTCAGGAGAAGCGCTTGATTGGGAAGTATTTCGAGGAGATCAGCCAGGATACTGGCAAGTATGTTTTTGGTGTAGATGACACCCTGAAAGCACTGGAGATGGGTGCTGTTGAAACGCTAATTGTGTGGGAAAATCTGGATATTAACAGGTATGTGCTGAAAAACAGTTCCACAGGTGAGATTGTCATAAAGCACCTGAACAAGGATCAAGAGACCGATCAAAATAATTTCCGGGATCCAGCCACTAGTTCAGAACTGGAGGTTCAGGAAAAGATGTCACTGCTTGAGTGGTTTGCTAACGAGTACAAGCGATTTGGTTGCAGCCTTGAATTTGTCACTAACAAATCACAAGAAGGGTCCCAGTTCTGCAGAGGGTTTGGTGGCATTGGAGGAATCCTTCGTTACCAGCTTGATATAAGGTCATTTGATGAATTCTCTGATGATGGAGAAGTTTACGAAGACTCTGATTAGCAATCAATCAACCCTTACTCAATCCCGGTGCAGCAGGGCAATCTGAAAGCCTGCACCGGGCATACGAGTGCATGCACTCGCTGCTGCTGCTCCGTAGCTCATGAGGTTTCACGAAATACTAATTAAGGTTTGCTGCTTGATCCTTTTACTCTGTATATCACTACTATATATTGTGTCGTTTCCTAAAATTACTTCTAATTCCTTCTTTCTTTACACTTTTTTTTTTTATTTTTCTGAATGGCAGGAGCTTGTCTGTTTTCTGGAATAGAAGATACTAGATGGCGATATTGTGGGATTGATTTGGCGATGGAACAATGGACAAGGTTGTTGGACTTATTGGGGAAAATCATTCAAGTTTCTTCCTGGGCTTGGAGGATATATAATATATAGGAGGCCCACTTTTGGTACTCTAGTATCATATGTGACTTAAATACTTGCATTGGCGTCTGGAAACCATATTTCTTGTTGCCTAGTTATGCCATACATTTGTACTAGTGACAATGTTCGACTCTTAGGCTCCCCCATCCCTCTTTCAAAGAAAAAAAAAACTACTAAATATGTGGTTAGGCAGCTTGGAATTACTCTTAGTTCTGTTTTTATCTAAGCTGAAGCTTGACATTTCATTCAGCTATAATTAAATTTAAGAATTGTCAGAAATGGAGAATGGTAGATGAGGTCTTGCATATTGGACGAATTGGATCTTAGAACACCTTATAGCTTCCCGACGTTCCCGTATTGTTTGTAGCGAAGTACGGAACTATTCAGACGGTGACGGTGAATCCTTCTTTTGCTCCTCACAGACACCAATGACCAACCCCACACCCACAGCACAAGGGAAATCACTCGGGATCTGCTGTTTCCACCTCTCTCGCGAATGACAAGAGAAATATTCCCTGTCTCGTGATAGAGGTGTGGGAAACATCGTCCACGGTGTGGGATGAGTTTGAGTGATCCGAATTCAATCTGGCCCACACAAACTCTGATGAGATATTAGATGTGGATAGAGTTTGTGTGAACAAGAGATCCGGACTCATCCGAATTCCGTTGCTGATTAGCAACTCCCGTAAACGGACAGTTACGCAAATAAACGACAAGTCGCGCTTTTTGGCATTGGCAGTTGAATTTTGAATTCAAGAGGTTATGATGCTCATGCGGTTATGCCATGGGGATGATGGGACTGACTTGACTGAGAGAAGCGTCGCCTCCTTTTGCTTTTCACATTTTGGGATGCAATCTATATATATTATATATATAAACCATCCTCCTCTCCTCTTATCTATGAATTAAAGCGGAGAACCAGCAACCTCTTGTCTTGTTTTCATTTGCCAATAAAACAGAATAATGGCTTTGACGATGGTAGGAACCCGTCTTGAGCAGTCTGTAACTCCTACTGCCCTTCGATCATACCTCGCTGAGTTCATATCCACATTCCTCTTCGTCTTTGCTTCTGTTGGATCCACCATCTCATCCCGTGAGTTTTTGCTTTTTAGTTATCTTCCTATCCTCCTACTCTTGCGAGTTTGGACTTGGGATACATATTTAAATTCTGATTTGCTGGTACCATCGTCCATGAATCCTACTAGATCACATAATTAGTGACGGGCTTAATTTGATTTGTTAATTTAATTAATTAATTAATTAATAATATTATTATTATTATTTTTTTAAATTCTTAACAGGGAAGTTAATGCCGAATGCTGTGCCCGATCCATCTAGTCTAGTGGCCATTGCCATTGCTAATGCATTTGCATTATCATCAACAGTTTACATGGCCGCCAACATCTCCGGCGGCCATGTGAATCCAGCGGTGACCTTTGGAATGGCCATTGGTGGTCATATCAGCGTCCCGACGGCCATGATCTACTGGGTTGCACAGTTGCTGGCCTCCACCGTGGCATGCCTTCTCTTGAATATTGTGGCTACCATTGTTGGACAAGTAAGTAATGAAGTGGTTTAATTGCTTGATCAAGACAAACGGCCGGGGATCATTGATGGTTAGTTGCTTGATTTTGCAGGTAATTCCGACGCATGCAATAGCGGAGGAGATGACAGGCTTCGGAGCAGCGGTGGTGGAGGGTGTAATAACATTTGCATTGGTTTACGCGTTTTATGCAGCCGGAGATGCAAGAAGAGGTCAGGTTGGAGTGATCGGGCCTTTAGTGATTGGACTAATAGTGGGAGCCAATACTTTGGCAGCAGCTCCATTTACAGGTGGTTCGATGAACCCGGCGTGTTCATTCGGGTTAGCTCTTGTAAGTGGGAATTTTAAGAATCAAGGGGTATATTGGGCCGGACCCTTGATCGGTGCAGCAATTGCTGGACTTGTTTACGACAATGTGATGTTTCCCTCTCAGTCCTCAGATGCATCCCGTTTTATGGTCGACGGAGGAGTGGGCCAGTAACTTTTTAGGGTTTATGTAAGAGATGGTCTACGCAACTTTATAATCTCTATTTTTTCTTTTACTTTGTACGCCATTGGAATCTATATATATATATATATATATATATATATATATTATTTGGGTTTTGAATAACAAAAATTCACATACGACTAATAATCTGCACGATAACATGATACGGAGTTTCTGGAAAATAGTAGAAGAAATAAAATTTAACTTGAATAGACTGGTTGTTTCTTTTCAAGGTTTGAATTCCAAAGCGGGGTCGGGAAATAATGCACTAGCCAAATGATGGTAATATGAAAAACGAGGTACGTGCCCAAGGCTTGCAAATTTTTAAATTGAAAAAGAAAGAAAAGTCTGAATCGTTATCATGGCTGGCAAACTCCAGTAAAAGTTCCAAATTAGTTCCAGATCAATGATATATTTTTATGGGCCAGAAATCGGATTTTCAAACGTGATCTGAACTCAGGCCCTTAGTCTGGACTCTGGACACAAAAAACAAAAAAAAAAACATTTACAAAGCTTTCAAAAGTCAAAGTAAAGCAGAAATTATGCCTGTGGTCAGTGGACATTTATTATGCGGCATGTCCTCTTGGGTCCCACCCATCTGACAATCATCGTGACTCCTCCATTTACTTACCACGTGGCAGGTTATGATGGACGTAACTAGTGGGGACAACCGTAGTCGGTAGTCCTAGACTTTCCAGAGCCAGAGGAGTGGCCTTATAAAGATTAAAGAAGACGGTCGAGTCCGATGGTCAAAATAAACAATTATGGATGATGTGGGGGCTACACTGTCGCTCCGGTACTGCTACAATCTACCAGAACAACTTTCAAAAATGAATTTGGGCCATCCGATGTGATGTCTGCCTTGTGTTTGGACTTTGGTGGATGTTTTCTAATATGAAATCATACATTTTCCAATATGGACAAATTTGACAAATGACAATCTCGTCATTCATGGATCGCCCGGGACAATTTTGAGGAGACCGGATCCACTAAGCGAAGCACATTTAGTGAACATTTTATAAATATTTTGATAATTGTTAAAAGTTGTTTTCAATCGTTTTCAAGGATACACACGACGGTGTACTGTGGGACGTTGTGGGGAACAATCTTATGGGGGCTGATTTGATCTCAAATAATACTCCTGACACTTTTTTTTTTTTTTTCAAAAGGATTTGATTCCGCGGCAGAACAAACCAACTAGCAAACCAGAGAGACAGTCCTCGGACACATTCATTTTAGTTATTGGGTCATTGCATCGGGACAATTTTACTCCGCTGTAATTCCCCTCATAAAAATGCAATTCGTTATCCTGCAGAGAATTAGTTGGGGCCGGACTTGTTTTGGTTCGTCTGGCTGCAGTGAAACATGAAGGTTCTGTTTGATCTTGGACTATCAAAGAGCTCCGGTGTGACGGTGTCCGGATATGGGAGAGAGAGAGAGGTAAAACTGAATTATATCATTTAATGCTCTCAACGATACTACAGTCCTCGAATTCAATTTTGTCAGCAAGCAGGCTTTTTCGGTAAGTGTAGTAATAATTACACCAAATTCCTTCCTTCTCTAACAAGGTCGGGAATTTGAATTCGTATTTTAGTCTTCCAATAAAACAAACCATTAAAAGAATTCCATCAAACTCTTTGTTGGGTTTTATTTGATTTTTAACTCAGTTATTATTAGATCTTTTAACTAAAAGTTGAAAATAAGAAGAATGTGAGAGCTTGGGGTGCTGTAGAGGTTGAGAAATGGATGGTTGCACTGTAGGTAAAGATGAAGAAACGGCTTGGAAGAGATATATGGAAGAACATTGTGCTTGTTCCAGTGGTGAAGCCCAACATAGGCGCACTAAGAGGTTGGTTTACTTTGGCTTTTCTTTCCGTTCTTTTATCATTTTTTTGTTGGCTTTGTTTGCTTTGAATTGGACACGGGATTCTGATTTCGGAGAGTCTAGGGTGGTATCAATTTATTTCAATGTTTTAATCTGAAGTAGGTAACCATTTTCAGTTTATTTCCATTGTTTAAGTTGTCACTGGTTTTTCTCTTTCGGTTAAATTCCTGTATATAGAGTGCTAAAATATCTAGTTGTGGTTTTATAAGATGCATTATGGCCCTTTAGTTTTATGGGTTTCATTTATCACTGAATAGTAGATTCCGATAATGGGTGTTCGGACCCCAGGGAGTCAAATGGACGGCAAGGTGGGAATGAAACTTTTTATCATCGCATTATTTTTGCCAGAAAACCATCTGGTATTAGCAGTTATATAAATTCTCTCTGTTTCTCAAAGAGTACTCTTTGGTCTTTAGTGCTGCATTTCACTTTGAAGCTCTCTTGTTCATATTTCTGTAGTACGTCTTTGTTTAATTCCACATAAATTCACAATGAGTGCCAGTTACCAAACTCATAATTCACAACTGAACAGTAAATGCGATATCCCATATGATCACTGCCATGAAGATTAGTATTATTCATAAATATTTTCTTTTGTTGCCTGTTAACATGTGGTATTACGGTGGCATGGAGGACTGTGGCACCCCTCTCAAAATTTCAAGCCTTTTGGTTGAGAACATGCAGCTTGATGCATGTTATCATCCAGTCAAAAGAAACAGAGATGTGGCAGTACACTAAAAGCTATTCTTAAGTCTATATTCACAATGTGCTATGTTCATGTAATTTCTCTTGTTGAGGCTCTAAGTAGGATAATGAATTAATGAGCCTTTTTTTTCAGTGCTTCAGACACAAACTTGGATGCCACGACACATGCAGTTCCACATTCCACGGGAAAGAACTTGGATGTATCACATGTAAGACCAAAAATCTTAGTCTGTTCTTGTCCACTAATTATCATGTCTTACTACTTTATACTAGCATATAAAAAGGAGTTATAATAGAGATTGGACTAAGAAAGAGAGTCAACTTATGTGTTGCACTTTTTTCTGAATCCCTCAGGATTTGCAGCCTACAACCAGGATTTACAGGGCACAAAGTCCAAGTTATACTAGGATCAGCTCTTCAGTCAGCCATCGAGCTTCCTTGGAGAAAGATGTAAGCATCGCATGTCTTGCTTTACATGAAACTTATTTGTATGTGTACATATACCTGCATATTTGTTCTTACATTTATTTAAATGTGAGTGCTAAATATCTGTATGAGCACACATGTAAGGGTATATTGATTGAAATGTGTAGGAAATTGTATTTTCTTTAGAATGGTATTTCTATGTGAAATTTTTTTTTCTTTCTTTACATGTTTATCTTACAACTATTCCATGACATAAGGTAACATTTCATGTAACCAGCATGCCTCAAAAAGCACTTTGTGGTTGTATTGATAAAGGAGTTGGCAGAAAACTACTGAGCTCCAGAGGAGAAACTTTTTAAACTCAAAAGTTTCTTCAAATTTTCTTGAGCAGTCACAAAATTCATTTACCCCAAGTAATTCTTTTTTGTCTTCTCCTATATTCCCTATGATCAATGAGGACTTAGAAATAATCACCTCTACATTCAGCATCTAAATCCATCATGTTCTTTCAGGTTCTTCTATATTTTAGCTTGTTGATAGGGAAATTTTATGATAGGTTATTACAATTTTATGGGGTTAAGAGACTTATATGATAAATTGGCACAGAATTGATCTTGACATGTTTGTGCCTCTTGCCAGACTTTAATCTTCTGTCAATATATAGGCATGGAGAATAAGAGACATGCATGATCAGATGAAGCTTCCATGATTGTCATGATGATCAAGTTCCGATAAGGTTGTATTCTGGGTCTCATTAGGTCAATATTAAGATCTAGGATGATAGAAGCAGTTATTTGTGAGTGATTAATGATGGCTGATGGCTCACATGCTTTATTTTGCCAGTGCATATTTTGGTGGTTGAATTGGTATAGGGGTTGAAGGAGAAAAGATTTAGAAAAGAATAATGCAGATAGAGCATGTGAAAATTAGGCTATGTTAACTATGGTTGTCATTCCTTTTTATTTTAACTCATAAATAGATATATGTGTCTCTAGAATGTCATAAAGTTTGGCATGCATTTTATCCCTGTCAGGTTTGAGTAGTCCTTGACCATTTTGTTTCTCTTGTATCTGTCCTTGACAAAGATTCTAGGACCCCACTAACTGGTATATATTTCTTTAACTTCCCCAAATTATTATTGCTGAAGTGCAAATCTAACTTGGTCCATTTAGTCCTCCTTTTGAAGACTGGATTAGAAGGTACAGGAAGTTTTGCCTGGTTGTTGTAAATGACTCTTCATATGTAACTGGCCTTGAATTATGCCCTCTATAGGACATTAATCTAACTAATTCATGCATTTTGTATGTCATTACATTCTTCTGCAGCTCAACACTGTGCATCAACTGAAATCTCTCCCCGCCCCTTTGGAGGAGGGGGAATCATATTACCTCCAGTGAAAGTACAATATCTGGATAGATATCTGCAGGTAGAGGATATCCACACGATGTTAGCATATGAGATAGCGAAGTTCCATTTTGATTAATAAATAGTCCCCTGCCTTTTAGGAATATGTCCAGTCTACTGCATTGAGATGAGCCATTTGAGATGAACACATACCAATTTACAAGGTTCATAACAAATATATCCATCAAAGTGATGACAAAATAAATCAGATCATCTAGGAGTCCATGGTATATCTCATGATCTGCATGCTCTCTATTTAAGGCAGCAATCTTATGATTACCGGGAGCTCTCTACCTATGTAACCATCTTCTGTCTCAGGCCTGTCCTATGGCTTTTTATTTTTGGATGTATTGCTCTTGTGCATATTTTTACTTCCTCCTGTATAATATATGCTTCTTTTCTATCAGAGGGGGTAGATCTCATTAAAGGACAATGGTAACTACAGAACAGACTGAACTTGTAAATGAAAAATAAGAAGAAATAATGACAGTAAGAAGCCTTGGTTTTCTAGGTCCCATTGGCATACTTGTTAAGAAAATGACAATAATCACACAGACAAAATCACTTTAAATTCCAGAAACACCATATTCACATCCTTAACAGAAATTCCTATTGTTTTTGCTCAACTAGTTTGAAATCCACTTTTATATCCATGGCAACAATTTATTTTCTTAATGATGATTTTTGGTACTTTCTCACATACCGCTGAGACCATCTAAAATGCAAGTTAATGTTTAGGTTGTTGTGGTACTTGTATCATGTCTTGGAACATGCTGTGTTGGTTTTTTATCTCTCTTCCAAGTTTTGACTCAAACAAAAAGCACCAATTTAATAATAAATAGAGTAAACAGGAAAATCGCTTCATTGTCTTTGTTGTCCAAGTCTTCTTCTAAGTATTTGTGGCAAGCTGATAGAATATGATATCAGCATTCCACTATATCCAGGACCGATTTCCTTCATCTAGTGCATTGAACCCAATTTTCCCTTCCATTATGTAACCTTTCTATATTAGAAATTTAAATACAATATCTGATTCTGGTTGAATTATTGTTCACTGTAGTTTTCAGCTGTAGCATATTCTGAAATAAGTGATGCTTGAATTTGCAGATCGAACAGCTACAACTGCATTTGCAGCAGGAGAAGTCTATGAGAGTTGTGCTTGAGAAGGCAATGGGCCGAGCTTCTAGTACTTTATCACCTGGACACAGACACTTTGCTTCTCAGGTATTATTTAAATGCTGAAATATCAAAGAACCTTAGTTCAGTCCTGTGTTTTTTGATTAACATACTACATTCACCAACAACAGCATGTGTCCTTATGTAGAAATTGTGCACAACAATAACATGAATCAAGCAAAAGAAATCCTGAACAAACATGAAATATCTTGTTTGTCATTCACTTTCTATTTACATGTTAGAGAAAAGAGCATCTGAATAAGGGAAATAGATATCAGAAGAGAATTCAGGGAAGAGATATTACCTAAGAAACCATCTTTAAGACAAAGACTTCCTTATATGCACGTAATTACAAGTTAATGCATTTGATCAAGGAAACACTGTTCCCAAGGTACAGTAAACTTCAGACTTGGTATTACTCAAGATTACACACCTTTACTTCCCTAGATTTGCACATGAATGCTGCACACAAATGGGATATAAACCATTATTGACACCAAAAAAGTATATTTTACATGCTTACAATGGAAAATAATGGATTGCTAAATGGTTAAAGAATTGTGGACTAATGAAAATATGATGCATAAAAAATTTAAAACTTAATTTGACATCATCAAATACTGTAAGGACACCATTAATGACAACATGAAATTTTAGTATTTCACTGAAGCCTTTCCAAAAGCGATATATCTGAGTATTTTCAACATTCATATTCAAACTTGAATTATGAAATCTCAACCTAATGAACTTTGGAACTCTTATAGTTATAACCATAGCCTAACTACAACACCTATCAAATGGCTTACATCATAACTTCTAAATCACTGCCTATTTAATAGCCAGACTTGAAACAAAACCCTTTATTAACAGCATTTTCACTGATTAGATATTATGTTTGTATATCTCCAATCTCCAATCATCTAAAATTCAACAACTTGCACTTATCATTTTGACATATGAGCCACATGATCTGTATGATTTTTCCATTCAATTTAGTAGTAGATTTTTATAAAGAAAGTAATACACATGTATGAAGTTCCATACATGGTCCTCTGTGTGTGCCACATTGAAACAGTTTATTAGACACCTCTCACAAAACTTCTTAGTTGTTATCATTTTGGTTTAGGTATATTCTATTCTTTCTCATAAAGGAATTACTAACAAAAAGAAAAAAAAAAGAGGATATATAGATAATAAACAAATGCATTTGCTTAGATAGTTTGAGTAAAACCTTTGACTATAGAACATCAATCAAATAATTTTTGTGAAAATGGTTTGAATTTGAACTTTATCACAACAAAAGAATCAAATGATATGATTTCATTTTCCAGCATAGCCCCTTAAAGCTTTTTGAGAGCTCTTGAGAAGTGGCTTTTACCTCTGGTGTCATGGTGTCATAAACCAAGGCATACCTGTCACAGTTAGTCTTGAGATCTCATGAGAAGTGGTTATGACCTCTACTATAGCAATGGTTAATTCACTGAGTGCCTATATCATATTACCCCAAACATTATGATTTCATTAAAAGATAAACCTAACCTTATTTGTGCAAAATAAGTGCATCAACTCTTGAAGGATGAGATTATCTTAAGAAAATTTCTTTAACCGTGTCACATTAGTCATGAGTAAGCCCTAGTTCCTAGCACCAGTCTTCCTATCTGCCATACTGGAACAACTGGTGCCAATTAACTATCCGACAACTGACATATAGAAAGGGTGAGAATCAAGAGCCAGGCAAGGTGTTGCAAAAGCAAACTTTGCATTTGACTATCCATTTTTTGGGACACCTATTGGCATGGAAATATTCCAAAATCCTATCCAATCATCATCATATGCCTTGTCCCACTTGAACTTTATATAGGGTCATATTCTATAATGAATTATATATTAAATGTGTTCTCACTACCAGAATAAAATACTTGTCTCCCATAATCTTCAAGTTGCCAAAAGTTCACTATTCTCAGAGGCAAAAATTACTTATCTTTCATTTTCTATGGCTAGATTGCCTTAGTTAACTCTTTTGTTGTCACCACTTGGTCAACTGTAACCATGTTTATTGGTTGTTAATACTCCTAGATCATGCATCTACTTCACCGGCCCAGCTTTAATTCCTTGGAGGCAAAGACTTTAACTAACCAACAGCAAGAGAGTTTGGATAATGAAGATGATTAATTGGAAGAGGTTGATACTAAACATCGTGATGTCTCTTCTGGATCTTAGGGCTCTTATTATCAAGAAGCTTAAGTTCCATTACATGCCTTTTATGCTAGAACAAATTCTCCAATGTTGTGCTTCTCTATGAGAAGAATTTCTATGGTTATACTGTAACTAAGGATTTTCATGATATTATTAACAATGAAAGTACCTGAACCTAATATCTAAAAGGCCTAGTATCAGACTTAGAGCTCAATGAAGAAAGAAAAACGAAGCAATGATGATTGAGTAGGCTCAAGTTGAGTTTCCAGAAGAGTTGTAATCAACACCCCTTAAATTGGTTATGGGACACTATAATAACCTGGTCGCATGCTATACATGTGTCATGGATGTTTGTAATATTTTCTTAGAAGGCCATGGTTTCATTATTTGAATGCTATCTGTTGATGCTCAGATTGGCCAAGGACAACACAATAAATCCGTTCTGCTTCCTGAACGAGTTGTCTAGCCGAATGACCCGAGGGATGCTGAGGCCGAGGGTTAGAGGGGCCCAAAGTGCATTGCGGCCGAGGGCTGGTGAAATCTGCCCAAGGTCGGCTTAGGTCAGTACCTACGGAAGAAGGGGACATTAGAGGCCCCAGGTGATAACCCAAGGTGGGGACTCCGACAATCAAGTTAGTGAGGGCGGACAAGGTCCAAGGAGCTCGGACGAGGTCACCAGAAAGCTAAAGGGCAAGAGGGTCTGGAGAGATAAAAGTCTAGCCCCTTACCTTGGGGGAGTCATGCCCTATTTATACTTGAGGTCGCCTGACAGCAGACACCACAGATAGTCAGGATGCAGTCCGGCCCTGGGCGAGCGGCCATCCTAGCTCGCCTCATGTGCCATTGGTCCCGCGCTGGGGGCTGACCTCCGCCCTGCCAGACGCGCTGATTGGCTCGTTCCTTGGTTGCGTGTCAACGTGTCAGTGGCCTGCCTAAAGCGCCTACATCATTTGCCCCCACTCTTGAGGCCATGGTGGAGGTCTTAGCTAAGGACCTCGGCTTCGGCCGAAGGGAGTGTCGTTCTTGCTGGGAGGCGTTGAGTGGCCTTCTATGGCGAGGACCTTGGCTATAGCTAGGCTAGAGAGAGTGGTCTTCGGGCACGGAGGTGTTGGCCCCGATTTGGAGTTGCTGAGGATAGTCCGACTTGGGAGCGTGGAGACGTCGGCTACGACAAAGGCCTTGTCGGAGGTAGTTTGGCCTATGAGCGTGTAGACGTCGTTCTCGGCTTCGAGGGGCTTTCATTAGTTGCTGTGTTGATTCCGTTCCTTGAGGAGGTTGTGGAGGGCCGAAGAGAACGGAGGGGTTGGCCTCGGCTTCAGAGAGCTTGGTACCGTGTTTTCTATGAGTACGGGGTGCGCATGCCCCCCAGTCGTGTGCTTCGGATGAGCTAATGAGTCTGTGCGCAAGCCAGGCGTCAGCTTCTTGGCTGATCACCATTGTGTGAGGTGCAGATGATGAGTGGGCGTGTCATGGCTGCGCACATGATGAATTCCGGCAACGGGTGTTGTCCACGCGCGTGATGGGTCTCGGCGTTGAAGGTCTGGACCGTGCCCGAGGTGGGCATCTGGTCGTGACCGTACGCGAGATGATGGTGGTGTTTCCTTGCATTTGGTGCAAAGGGCTGGTCGTTTAGTTCAATTTGGTGGGGAGTCGAGCTGAGCCCCTGGTGGCGGAGGAAGCTTTGACACGGAATGGCCTCAGCTTCGCTCGCCTAGGTAGGAGGATTCTGGTTGTCAACCCGATACGTTGGCTCACTTTCCCGTTGATAAGCATCAGTTAGCTCGTGCTTGCGTAAGGATGTCGCTGAACGCCAGGGACTTGCTACTGGAGAGGGCGCTGGGCAAGGGCCCGTTCGGAGCAAAGAGGGCGCCTCAGCCAGAAGGGTGCTTCGGCTAGGAGGGTGCCTCGGCCAGGTCAATCGTAGGGGTGGCCAAGGTGGGAACTTGTCTTGTCGTCGGCTTGCAACTTCTCCTAGCTACCCATCCCATGGGGGACAGGGCACGTAAACCCGTGTGCGGCCTAGGCTATATGGACACCGGTCGGCGCCGCGGACCGCCCTAGTCTAGCGAGATGGCGTTGTTCCCTTCAACATGTCTGTTCTACCATAAATTGTGCCAAGCAAAGGGCCGATGCCAGCCTTCGAGCCTAAACAAGAACTCACTCGCTTGGAGGGTCTCTCCGAGGTCGAGGCCAAAATCAAGGGCCGCCCCGTCAGTTGTGGCCGAGGTCCATTAGATTCCCTGTCAAAAGGGGTGAGTAGGCGTGTGACCTCCAGCGGACCGTATGCCTTGGGCTGACGTCCAGTCTGGGCATGTAACCTTGGTGAAGGTTGTATGCCGCAACCAGTCGGTCGTCTGAGGGTGTGCGGTCTCCGGAGGGTCGTATGCCTTGGGTCGACGTCCAATCCGGGCATGTAACCTTGGTGAAGATTGTATGCCACGGCCAACCAGTCGACCGAGGTGGAGCCTAGCGACTTGGCGTATGACCTCCAATGGTCATGTGCCTTGGACCGAGGTCCAGTCTGAGTGTGTAACCTTGGCAAAGGTCGTATGCTACAAAAGGTTGCTCGGTCAAGACGAGAACGTATATGCTGAGGGTTTGAGGCGAGGTAAGAGAAACTTGCTTTATTGCCAAATGTTTACATGGTTGGCCAAGGCCGAGCTCTTGTGGTTACATGGCCCGGCCTACGGGCACGCCCAAGGCCGAGGTGTTGATGATGAGTGATTTATTACAACTGCTACTGCTGGGGCAAGGTGATGACGTCGGTGTCAACGTATAGCTTCAGATATCCGCGGCGGATGAGGGACTCGATCTCGTCTTGGAGGTCATAACAGTCCTCGGTGTGATGGTCG